CACAATGAGTGCGAGCACGCGTCCGCAAAGTACCGTCTGGTTGTACGGCCGGCAGTAAACTTGTGTCGCACGCCAGTCGCCGTACTCCTTCCCCTTCTCCGGCTTCTCAGCCCCCCCTCCCGCAAACTAGATTAACGTTGTCCTTCTTCAACTTGCGGATGGAATAAAGAGAGAGAGGTACGGTGGAACAACTCATCGTGACCGTCACGCAGTACGGGCGGGTGGGTTAGCGGAATGAGTAAAAACTATTTTCTCTACAGTTTTCTTTCCATATTTTTCAGATACCGTTTCACGAAATTGAAGAAATTACTATCCTAATGACCCAAAAGCCGTTCAGGTTGATGGGGTAATGGAAAAATTACTTATGCTGAAAAATTGTTTAATGCATTTGAAGAATATTCGATGGATTGGAGCGGATTTACTTGAGGGGAAGCAAGTGATTGGATGAAAGAAGTTGAAGATCTTTCACAGAAAATATCCTTTTTCATCACGCTGTGCGACAAAGTGACTTTTTAGGCTCGCTTAGTGTGCCTAAAACGTCCCTTTTCCAGACATTGTGATGAAAAATATCGTTCGATACTCGTGGAAAAAGTGAGATTATATCACTCGCCTTCGGCTCGTGCTATAAACCTCCCACGAGCCAAAAAACTCTTTTCCGCACTCGTAACAAAATATTCTATTTCATCACGCTGTGCGAAAAAGTGACTTTTCTGCCCTCCGGCCGGAAAGCGTCAACTTCCTGGCCGCGGCGCCAAACGAAGTTGCCACTTTCCGGCTGCGTCGAGCAGAAAAATAGTATACACACCTTGGCCAGTAAATAAGAAAGCCTCAGATCACATGTTTGTCGACCTCGGCTTCGCCTCGGCCAACAATTACATGTGATCTGAGACATTCCTTACTTTACTGGCCGAGGTGTGTAATCTACTATTTTAGGCGCGCGAAGCGTCCCTTTTCCAGGCATTGTGATGAAATGGTATATTATGTCATCAGGCGATAAAAGTATTATCTGGCGAATGTGATTATAATCTTCACCTTCGGCCCGGATTATATACCCACATTCGCCAGATGATGCTTTTATCGCCGTGTGACATACGATATTTTATGTCGTTGGGCCCGAAAATCGCGGTTTATCGGGCCTAATGACATAAAATATCGTTCGATAGTCAAGGGAAAA